GGCTAAAGGTGTAAGGAAAGTGGGAAGGGTGGGGGAAAGGTAATAAGGGAGAGGAAAAAAATATGAGAAACTGAAAAAATGGAAATAAAGTGTTTGTAAATGGGGAGGGGAGGAGGGGGTGAAGGGAGGGCAGGGACAAGGGGAAAAATGAGAATCAAGACCTATTATGTAAAGGTACAGAATCCCATTGATGAATGTAATTGTATCGTATACCTAGATTGTACCAATAACCTCAATAAAAAGAAAAAAAAATGCCATGTGTAGTGGTACACACCTATAATCCCAGCACTTGAGAGGTTGAGACAGGAGAATCACCACAAATTTAAGTCCAGTCTGGGCTATATAGTGAGTTCAAGGTTCACTGAAAATAATGAGACCCTGTCTCAAAAAATAGGTATTTTAAAATTTAAAAATAAACTTGGGGTCAAGAACTTAGCTCAGTGGTTCTGCCACCTGCTTCTCAAGCACAAGGTTCTGAGTTCAATCCCCAGTACCACAAAATAAAAAATAAAAATAAATAAACTTCCTCTCTTCATAAAGTACTCAAACTTGGATACTTTGCTACTGCAACTGAAAATGGACTAATACACACCCTATGTCTCAGTTTCTTCATTTGTAAATGGGTGATAACAGAAGCTACCTCCTAGAGAGCTAGGAGTTGATGTGAGAATTAGATGTGCAATAAACTGAAAGTGAGCAGAACACTGATAAGCACATAGCAGGTGCCATGACATTTTAACATTTAACATTATCACACTGGAATAACATTTTTAGCCATAACTCATGGTGGGGGCTATATATTTGCCTGGTATTTTGACCCACTCTACAGCCCTAATCTGCATCTACACAGCTAAGGGCTTCACTGATTTATTTTTTTGTTGTTGGTGGTTGTTTTTTTGTTTTTGTTTTTTATGGGGTTTTTTGTTTTGTTTTGTTTTTTTGTTTGTTTGTTTGTTTGAGACAGGGTCTCACTAGGTAGTTGAGTCTGACCTGGAACTCACTATGTAGCCCAGGCTGGTCTCTAACTCACAGCAATCCTCCTGCCTCAGCCTCCCAAATGCTGGGATTACAGGCGTGCACCACCACTCCCGGAAAGGGCTTCACTGATTTTTTTTTTAACTGAATGCGGGAGAAAAGCAAAAGAGAAGAGGGATTCCTGGCCTGGGTATAACAAATACTCAGGCTTTTGGAAGAAAATAAGAATTTGTGTCAAAACAAAAAAGACAAGCTGGGTGTGGTGGCATAGGCCTGTCTGAGAGGCTGAAGCAAGAGGATCACAAGTTTGAGCCCAGCACAGGCAATTTTGTGACTTAGTAAGAATTTCTCAAAATAAAAATATAAAAAGAGCTGTGGATGGAGCTCAGTGCAAAGGCCCTGGCTTCAAACCCTAGTACAAAAAAGAAAGAAAAAGAAAAAAATCAGGTAGAAAACATGGTTAAAAGCAACTTAGAAAGACCTTATCTCAAAAGAAAAAAAGCTGGGGATGTATCTCAGTGTGCAGCCCTGAGTTCAGTTTCTAATACTGGAGGAAAAAAAAAGATTGAGAGAAAAATATGGTTAAAAGCAACTTCTGGAACTTCTAGAAAGATGGCAGAGTGGTAAGCAGTACAGAAGAAGCCTCTCTGA